ATACATAAACTTTTCAGCATGTGCATTGACAATAAAATAGGAAATCTGGCATGATATTGTGTTGATCTCACAGCCATATGTCCAAACTGAATCAACCTGGACTCTGAAACACAATGTTCTTGGATAAACCTCAAAGCAAGTGGAGTAATTCTTTTTTGCATGATGTGTAATACCATTGTGCTGAGTGTGCGTGTCCTGTTTGTATTTTGTCTGCTGTGTTTTCAACACAGACTTAAAGCACAACAGCTGTAGCTTCACTCGAGATACAACAGCAGCAAATGAAAGTTTAATGTAGAATACACACATCAGATTTACGTAACTACGGGGAAATAAACACAAGTAGGTAACCTCCGACCTTTTCCCATGGTCCTTGGCGATAAATGGGGATGGCGAGGTCTGTGTGGGAGCACTGGGATGGCTGTGGATGAATAACGGGATGCTCTCAGTCTGCCAGTCGGTGAGAGTGGAGATCACGGAGCTAGGCACAGCCACAGAGATCGACACGCACATCCATCTCCACTGAGATACTCCCAACGACGGCTTCTTGACTGGAAACAGATGGAAATAGGACTGAATCATCATCATCATCATCATCATCATCATCATATTTACATTATGATTGTCTGGTTTGACTTATGAATACTGAACTGAGGTGGACATTTAAAGGCAGCGGTTTGTGGGTCCAGGCTGAAATATCTCCACCACTATTTGACGGATTCTCTTGAACTTTTGTAAAGACATTCATGTTCCCCAGATGGTTCACCCTGCTGACTTTGGTGATCCCCTGACTTTCCCCTCAGCCCCATCATGAGGTACAACTATTGGTTGGATTGCCTTTAACTTTTGTACATTTATGTTTCCCTCAGGATGAATTGTAGTAACTTTGGTGATCTCTTCACTTTACATCTTTTGCCATCATCAGGTCAAAGTTCTAATTCTAATAATGAATTAAATATCTTTTGTTGAATAGGTTTAGACATTCCCTTCTGTCCCAGCTCTACTCAAAATGCTAAAAAATGTTGCTGTAGACTTTTAGTCTTGTTCATTACAACTTTGGTTTTATTTTAGCCTATTAGCTAATTTAGCTTTGGCCATCGGTTCTATTGGTTCTACTGACCCTGTACTCATCGAAGTAATTGCAGGGAATCTGTGAACATAGAGACACGAGCAGTCAGACTAAAGTAAACTGACTAAAATACACCATTGTCACTGAACGAATCGTTAGATTTTAGCACAAAAACAATCATCTGATACCTCCGTAGTAAATAACAGGCTGGTAAACTAACTATATGTGCAGCGCTCATAAAGACTAGTTTTGTACCGAACTAAACGAGCAATAAACTCCATCAGTACTCAGTTTTATACATGTTGAAGTGCATTTAAATGGCAATGTGACTGCTGAGCTTCGTAAAACACAGTGAACAAACTAGTCAGTGAAGAGTGCAGGTTTAAATCAGAATTAACTTGAACTCAAGTTGCTGAGGTCCAACCATGACGCTCTTTCCAACTGATACACTCATAGATCTCTCTAAAGTCTAAGGTTGTACACTTGGAACCACAATGACTCACAGAACTCTCACAAAGTGATAAATTACAATAAAGAACAATTGTGGCTTTTAAAAACCCCGTCAAACATCATACGCATGTGGTAGTAGTCAATATAATTGACCTCCTGATGATTTTATTTGTTAATAATTGTCGTTTTGTTGAGTACAGGCTACTCTTCAGCCAACACGTTGTAGACGAGAGGAACCAGTGTGTGAAGGACTCACCCTGACTCAAGAAAAGCAAAAAGAAATTGAGTAAACTCAAGCTGAAAGAATGCTGCTCTGGCCTCCATGATGAATGATGGATAATGGAGGAAACTCCTATTTCGGCCTCATACACCCATAATCTTTCCCACGGGGTTTAAATGACTTTAAATTGTTAACAAGACTAAACAGACCACCAAACACACTGTCCACTGCTGTGTTTAATGGAGACTCTCAGAGAGAAGACATTCAGCAATGACTCAGTAAAAAGCAGCTGGACTTTGAGTATATTTCATGGTTTATCCAAAAGGTTTCATCAGCTCTACAGAACCGATGAAGGACTGATGGAGCCTCTCAGATGAGTGCGTGAATGTAAGATGTCATTTAAAAGAACTGTTAAAGCCGGGCTCACTACATCTACATGTATGTCGTGAGTTCTTCATCGATTATTGCCACCTCTTTAAAATGACACTGAAAAAAGTGATGATGTAACGTTGGTAGTAAACACAAGTCCTCCATCTTTGATGTTCTCTCTTGTATCTCTGTTGGGAGAATTTAAGGATTCGTATCCGATGAAAGCTTCATTTACACCGATAACTATTGCCGATCATTGATGATCCATATCGGCAGATGCAGATCGTTTTGTTTATTTTGTTATAGCAGTTGTATACAAGGCTCCAGAGTTTTCCTTTTTCGCCACCGTCCAAAGAATCATATTAACCGCTTGAAGTCAGCGTAAACCATTAAATATATACTTTGTTATAGTCATCTATAGTGGTTGATGTATTATTATCTGCTAATATTAGCAGGTTAAGCAGCTCTTAATTCCCTCTAATATATATTTTATGTTTCTGTGAAATCATCTCCTTCAAACAACTAGATTTATTCAAACTTTTCACCAAAACTACATTTTACAAGATTACATTTGAACACATTTTGTCAACGTTTTGATTTAACATTCGTAACCTACGTATGTAAGTGCTAGACAGAGTTTAAATTGTGACCTGTGTTTTGTGGCGCTGGATAAAACATCAGAGGATGTTAGGACTCAAAATTTCACTGCAATCCGGGGAATATTTGAGATATTTCTTTGACACTGAAAACAAAGGTTGCATCTATGTTGTCTTCCTGAGAAACAGAGCTGATATACAACTGTTCATAGTAGCTGTTACTCAGTCAGGTGAGTCAGCAGAGCCGGGTAAACTGTGCTATCCGGTGGGACTTTGGCAACATTATCCATGCAGGGGTGGAGGGACGGTAACTCAGCGTGCTCCTAAACTGCTAAACAGAGCCACATGTTTGGAGGTTAAGTTCAACCAATCAGACTCTGCAGGCTGGATATCAGCCCCCAGGAGCCCAGTGGATCACTTTCAACACGAGGGGGGGAAGCGCCGGTGTGTTAACACACACTCCTACCAGGGAGTGTGTGTTCATGCACACTCTCTGGTGGGAGTGTGCATGAACACACACTCGGGTAGGAGTGTGCGTTAACACACACACACACTCCTAGCAGAACGCACACTCCTACCCGAGTGTGTGTTCATGCACACTTGTGTTCATACACACTCCCACCAGAGAGTCTGTGTTAAGGCTTTTTACAAGTGTGCAGAGCCAGTGGAAAAACCTCCAACACCGCCGCACAGCATCCAATAAACATGAAGCTTGGCTCCGCTGGTCAGTATAATGCAATAAATAGCATTTTATATTCGCCAGTAGGAGCCACAGTAAATGTTTTTTGGCGTGTAATTGTAAGCAGATAACATAATGGTTGTACATGGCCAAAAACTGTGCTCATAACACTTAATGAAATCTGAATGTGTTGTAGTTCAGGATTTGGCTGCGATGTAACCAGCAAAGTGGAAAAATGACTGGTTTGATCCCAACAACAGCAGAGAGTCCTGGCACGCGGACACTTAGCTTATTTTGTGAAACATTACAATTTGTCACATACTTTATCAATAACTGTCATGGTTTGATATAAATTTGTACATTTTTTTTAAATTCTTAATCGTCAAAATATCTGCACACTATGATTTTCTGGTTTAAAGGTGCCAAATTAAAAATTCAGAGCATATCTATGATTGAGGGATTGTCTCCAAATGGTCAGAATTTTGAAAAAAACACATTTAACCTCAAACACAACTCATCCACACCATGAACCCAAAGTGGTGGGAACACCAGAGTGCTCTTACACAACCTGCTCCATGAGAGGAAGCGCCTAGAATCTCAGTCAAAGTACTTCTTTTTATTGTAGGAAGTCCCTCTTAACAGGAATTTCAGTAGAAAGTTGTCCTCCACACGTTGCGTATTGTAACTTCCCTTTGATGTTTGACCGATGTGCAGAGTTTGACACTAGAAAGCTGAAGATGGGAATATTCTCTGTGCTCACTTTTAAAGGTGTTCGAAATTCAGAGCAAATATAGCAGCAACCCACTATTTACTACCTGAGCAGAGAATGAAGTCGCTCTGTGTGCGTGGTAATCGGAGCTTCTTTGAGCTTTGTTCACATAGCGGACGCTTCCGGCATAAATGAACACTTCAGTTCACACTCAGGTTAAAAGTGTTAAACCGTGTTCACACTAAACGCTGCGTGAGTAGATTACTTACAAAGTCAATGCACAGACGCGAGTAATGCGAAACTGTGTGTATAAATGTGTGTGTGTAAACCAGATGGTACAAATAAGGAAAAAGACGCTGCCGTATTTACGCCGAGATGACGTTATTGTGAGTGTTGATGGAGCTGCTACAATGTTAGCTTAGCACCGATCGATCCGAGCTCCATCGAGAAAACAAGTATTTTAAAAGTGATTTGCTTGTCGTCTTGCAGAGAGAACTAACAAAACATGAATTCAGACTTTTTACAAATCACCGTCATTATGTAGTTATTTTGGCATCTTTTTTTAATGTACGTTTATTGCAGTTAAATCACAGCAAAACCTGTTTATTTTGGGTTATTTGTTCCATGGTTGATGGCGGGAATAAATGGCGTAGTTGGTTCGTTTGGAGTTTGGTGTGAACGCACCTTTAGCTCTATCACTGTTAGCGCTGTTTGCTGCTAGCTACCGGCTCAGGTAAATTATGGAATTGGAAGGTAAAGGACTCAGCGTAGCTTTTTGTGTGGAAATATCGGACACAAATTATTACTCTGAATGACGTGAACACAGCATTTCACTGTTAATCCCTCATGTTGTCCTTCTACATCCAAAAGCTAACTTCGTTAGCGACCAATAAAACTAAACTGACACGTTCTACTCAGCGGATTTATTGTGCAGATTAAATGATTTCTCTCAACTAGTCATCTAGTTTGAAAAGGTATAAAATAAATGCATAGTTTAAAACACACTATGCAGAAGCAGATGCATACTCGGGGAAATTCTCACAGCAACTTTTTAAACTGGAGAATATATATCTTACAAAGAAAGGTACGTTTCTTTCTACATTACATCAGTTACAATGAACAGTAACACACATGGTATCCTTCCTCCAGGGCGCTCGTCTGGTTTATGTTCCTTCAATCTGCTCCAGCTTCGTTCTTAAAATCCCAGAAGCATTTTACGAGATTTCACTGTTAAAAAGCTGCAAAGAAAAAAAACACTGTTCATCTGGTAGAAAAACCTTCAGATTCAGTCCACCGACGGGAGCGTCGCTTTGTACACTACATTGGGGAACATGTATTTGAAATACTCTGGATGATCAGCATGAATGCAGGACTGCGGTGGGTTTGATCCGGCTGTATGTTACTGAAATGACCGGAGCCAAAACTGCCAAAATAATCAATTTCATGGACGTCCAACTGTCCTGGAAGGTATGTTTGGAGTGGCTGTTTTTCCAACTGCACTAAAACTAATCCTTTCACCTCGCTCCCTCATTTTACATCTCAGCACTCCTCACTGGCAATAAAAAAAAAAAAAACACGTGCCATTAGTTGTGGTGAGGAAAACAAGTACTTATGAACAAACTCATATTTTACATTTTTGCTCTTGCACTAGACAGCCATAAAGTCTTTGTCCACCGGAGGCTCTACGGTTGGTCACCGGCTGCCGTGGCCTCGTCGTTGCTGCTGTCCACCTCCTGCTCCATGGGGCTGTCCTCCTCCAGCTGCTGGCTGGTGTAGTTGGTGATCTCCAGGAAGCCGCTGGGCTCCACCACCACGTTGGACTGGCTGGAGTCCGGCAGGATGGAATACTGAGGAATCACCTGCATGCGTTAGTCACATTTGGGTTTCAGTCAAAGATAACAAAATGTATCCTGTCCCATTAAAGAAAGATAGATTTATCAATACATATTTATTTAAAACATAACCGTCTCCTGCCCTCTATACCATCAGTACAGTCTGGTGTATCTAAAAGGTATATTTAAAGTTCACAATAACCGTGTTTCTAGAGAATTTAAAGTGACTTTCTTTAATACGAAGACGAGCATTCCCACGTTACGGGAATATCTGTGTCAGTCATGCGAGTTAAATGTTCGCTACGTCAGCACCCATTCAGTGCATCAACTCTAAAAGCGAGCTTAAAAATGTTTTTGCAGTTCAGAAAGTACTGTCATATTTCTGTTTCCATACAGCTTGAGAACAAATGTGTTTGGGAACACGGACTGTGATGCCTGACTCATAAAAATGTCTAAATAAAGAGGTTAATATGTGACAGACATGCTGACAAACCCGTCTGTACCTCGATCGATGTGATTTATGACGAACATTAGTCCTAAACATCTCACCTCGATGACCTCCAGGTCTTCTTTGCTCCTCTGTGCGGTGAGGCCCTGCATGCAGCCGAACTGCTGGGACTTGTTGTGGGAGTGATGGTGCACGGAGGCCCCGGAGCTGCTGATGAACTGACCCAAGTCCAGCGTGCCCGACACGGCCCGGACCTCCAGGGCTTTGCCCAGAGGGCCGCAGTCGCTGGAGGAGTCCACCACCATGGGCTCCGTGCTGGGGTCGATCTCCGCCTCCATCATGGAGATCTTCAGGATGTCCGAGGACACCGAGGGCTTGTCCCCCGAGGGCCTGGAGCTGGACTCCGGGATCAGCTTGGCGGTGGCCTCGCCGCTGCTGAAGACCTGCGACGTGTGGTGGGGGACACCGAAGGTGATCTTGGTGACGGTGGCGCTCTGTGTGATGATTGGCTGCTGTGGTGGAGATAAAATAACAAATAGAAATTCAGGAAACTCCGACAGTCATCCCTTTCGTAGTCACAATTTTTATTTTTTTTTCAGCGGCTGCAGGGTGTGTGTCTGCGCGTGATTTCCAGACAAATGGCAGCATCATGAAACCAAAATTGCAAAATCTGAATTTCTCCTGTTTGGTCAAAGGAGAGCTCAGGAAACATGATTTATCAGATACGAACACTGTAGCAGAAAGCAAAACATGTAAAGTAACTTCACTCTGACTATAAATCAATTTGTTGCTGCTTTATCGGTCTGCGTCGTGTTTGAGGAAAAAGGTTTTATAACGTTTTTACAAGGAAAGAAGGAAAACCCCCGGCACTTTCACACTATACTGGGTCGGTCACATGCCTCCAAACAAACACAATAAGATGACTGACAGAAGTTTGGCCGTGAATTTCTACCTCGGGGCGGTTCTTTTTCAAATCCAATGTGAACAGGCGTGACCGAAAAAAGCCTTTGTGCTAAAATTGAAACAAACAAAATGCCCCAAGTTGTTTTATTTCTTTCTCTTGGCAAAAGCACTCACCTGGCTGGAGGCGGTCTTCTCCGTGCTGACTGGGTGGTGCGCCTGCAGTGGAGGCGGGTGGGACATGGGCGTGTGCAGAGGTCTGTGGTGGGACGTGGGCGCTTGCTGGAGCTTCGGCAGCTGCGGCGTCAACAGGGGCTTGTTGGTTGGCGTGACCGGGTTACTCGTTACCTTTGCCCCTGGTTGGGCCGGCAGTCTGTCTTTGGGGCTCTGGGTGGTTAAGACCTGGGGTTTGGGCTGAATCTGCTCTCGTAGTTTTGGGAGTTTCTTCGTCAGAAGAAGAGTGGAAGGGAAGGCAGCGGAGGAAGAGGAAGGCTGGCTGATTTGAGGTTTGCTGTGTAGTTGGGGTGGCGGTGGCGGCTGCACGGAGGTGGAGGTGAGGCGGCTCTGCTCGGCCTCAGGCCGAGCAGCTGCAGAGTGGCCGGTTTGCTTCGTGGGCTCTGAAGCCGGTTGGCTGGAGCGGTAGAATAAACCTGTTTGGGGGTCCAAGGTGTCGCCTTCCAGCTCGCCCACCTCTAACACGGCCTCGGTTCTACCGTGGCTGTCAGAGGGCTGGAACACAGTCACAAAGAAGAGAGAGATGTTATCAGGAGGAGGGAGACGTATAACCTCCTCCTCGTGGAGCTAACGGGAGCCACTGCAGAGGTAGGAATGCACCATGACGAGTGCAGTTAAACTAGTCAGCGTTGAGGGCTATTTCTAGCTCTTGGGGGCCAGTATAACTCGATGAGTCATCATCTTATGATTTATTTATATTTTGACTCTTAATAGTTAAATGTAAATGACAAAAAACACATTTAACGATTATACGGTAATTTAAATAACTTTGGAGCCCGATAAGCCGTTCGTTTAACAAAACTATCACAAACGTTCCAATAAAACAAATAGTTCCTGTGAAATTGTTAACGATGTACTCTGGATTATCCGGAGTGGTTTGTGGCGCTCACACAATGTTTTGTTCAAGGTTGTGAGCACCACAAATAAAAGTCCCGTCACCTCCATTGTCTCAAAACATGGGAACATAAACACCAGAACTAGCTCGGTTAAATACTAATAATGACAAGTGATGGTTTAATGTTTAGGTTAACCGACCATTTAATCGATGCAAACTAAATGGACCAGCTAACAACCCAACATTATACTTTTACACTACTATATTTGTCCTAAAACCACTTCCAATGAGTTTCCAGAGTGTCCGCCCGGCGTCCTCACCATGTGGCCGACGTGTGAAGCTGCGGCTGCCGGTTTGTTTACCGCAGTAACCTGGCTGCTGATTTTGTAGAGCTTCCCCGGCTGCTGGCTGGAGGACATGACCACGTTGTTGTCGTCCTCGGAGACCACGCCCACTCTGCTGCTGACGACTTTACCTTTAACCACAGATGTAGAATCAGGCGAAACAATATCAACAAATCAAAAAGGACAACATGCTTTGTGTGCCTCAGTGTTAAATTTGAGGTTTTAGTTTGAAGTTTACTTTGTTCCTCTGAAGTCATAAAGCTGCCAACCGAAAACAGGAAGTGCTCAGTAGGGCTGAAGTCATGCATTTGTTAAACTATTGCGAATAATGATTCATATTTTATTTTGGTTTGTTTTATGCCACACAGCGATGCTGTTGTGTCTCTCTTCACAACTAGACGATGCAAAATGATTGAGGCAATTATGTAATAAAAGTACTGTGAAGTACCTGTACTCTACTTGAGTATTTCTATTGTGTACTACTTTATACTTCTTCTTCACTACATTTGAAGGATTCAAGGATCATTTATTGTCATTATGCAACACAGGGATGCACAACAAACACATGACAAACAAAACAATAGTACATTGCTGTAGTACGTTGACCACATGCATGCATCAATACTTATAATCCAGTTATATAATATATAGTATTCTGCACAACGAGTACATCTACTTTAGGTACTTAAGTACATTTTCAGAGTGTCTATACTGTTGTATTGCAACTTTTACTCAGACAAAATATCTGAGTATTTCATAGGGTGGGCCATGACACTGGAGAGGTGTACTACCTGCTGTGAGGTACTCGGTGCTGGGTTCAGCCTCTGAGGTGGAGGGTCTGGGGGACTCTGGACTGGGCTTCTTGTCCTGGCTCAGCTGGAGGGGCACCGCCATCTGGCTCAGGTCAATGGTGTGTCTGGGTTTGGACTCGGCTTTCTCCTTCACTGGATGGAGAGCGGAGGGTCAATAATCACAATCAGCTTTATTGGCAACAACAAAGTAGAACAGAGAAACTAAGCATAAACATTTAGCATTGAACTACCATGTACAATATAAATAAATATATGATCCTTCACAGTACTTTAAGTGCCACCTAGAAATCATACGGTGCTTTTAGGACAATAGACGCAAGTCAATAAGTGGATCTGCTGAACGGCTCTGGTTTCATAAATCACATTCTCTTCGCTTTTTGGGAATTTTACAATCGGGGGGGAAATGTCCTTGGAAGTTCTGAAATGGGAGTTCTTATGTACGACACCTTCAATTATTTCGTTGTTTCTCTTTCTCACTTCCTGTCTACTAATCGACCCAGTTCCACAGGTTTGAAGCCCCAACGAGCTTATTGTGAAAGCAACGCCTCAGGCATAATTACCCCCATCTTTCCCGTTGACGTCTCTTCGTGACATAAAGGCTCACCTGTCGTCTGTTGAAGCTCCAGCAGGGCTTTGATGGTTGACGTAGCGGACTGGGATTCCCCACCAGACACCTCCTGGTAGATGATAGTCGGGCTGGACTCCACTGATATTTCCTGCTCTGTCCAATCATGCTCTCTGGAGGAGACCACGTGCACTACAGGCTGAGGCTCTGAAGGAAACAACGTGGGACGAACTGTAATTTACAGCCGATTCATCCGACCGTATCATCTCTCGTCTCTAGAAGTTTTACCTTGAGCGCCGCTGTGGGACGACTCGCCTGCTAAGCTTCCGGAGTCGTCCTTCGTGGACCCGTCGTGACCCAGACCCTGAGCCTGAACCTGCACCAGTTCTGCCGAGCGGGTCACGTGCTGCAGCGCCTCGGTGACCAGTTGCCGGGTCTGTTCGCTCACCACCGCCGTCTGGAACACTGGCTTCGGCTTGATGAGAACCTGGAAGGAAACCAAAGGAACACAACAGTGTTCTGTAAAGCAGCGGCTCACATCCAGAATGTGTCGACTATATAGACAGCGGGTGATGTATTTATTTCATACGAGACATTGGTTTGCATTCACACCACCACTACTTGGAGGGGCAGACGCTGAATGTTTACATCGTTACTTTGAGGGATTTATTCCACTTACAGCTGACTCGGGTTGGTGGGAGGCGATTATTTGCATGATGACGTTAATACAAGTTTCCGAATCATTACAGTCAGTGACTACGTCATATTTCCGTCTGCTTTGCTGTCAGTAAGCCGGTCATAAATGTAAACGAGTCAAGTCATTTTCGTCACTGGAAAGTAGTAACTTTAGTACTGAAATTGGTGTTTTTTGTGACGTGATTTTCAGATTGTTGCTGTTGTCGTTTTGGTGGATCTAGCTTGTGGTTTTTACTGAAACTGCACAGCGGATCATCACTGTGGGAGTTGAATACAGTACGTATTGTATATTCAATTCAATTTATTTTGTATAGCCCAAAATCACAAATCAGCCTCACGGGCTTTACATCCTCCGTCCGGGGACCCTCACATACATGAAAAACTCCCCCAAAAAACCCTTTAACAAAGAGACAAATAAGGAAGAAACCTTCTACTGTACTGTACAGCAGGCTGACTCACTGACCTCCATTTCCTCTTGATCACTAAAAACAGAAAGTGAATTCCGGCTAAATTTAGACTAAAGTGATGAGTTAGATATTGAGAAGTACAACGTACCGTTTCATCAGCAGAACCTTTTTGCAGTAATTTAGTATTTTATTCATGATAAGATGTTTTATTATAGATAGAGCTCACTGTTTTCCTTCATCCCTCACTGCTTCAAGTGTATGAAGGTACTAAAAAACCACCTGGACATTAGCACGATGGGGTTTACCCTCTCACTATCTGACACTTGTGTGTTGAACTCAAATTCCCCAAAAAGCCTTAGAAAGAAATGTCTGGGTAGTTCACTATCTCTTCAGTTCTCTCCTCTCAGTGGGCGTTTCTTCTTTAGATCACAAGATATGTCAAACCCTCATGAGGAATAATTGTTGTCAGAAATATGAATTTCTACAGAACTAATCTTGTTTTAACTTTTTAAACGGCAGAAAAAAATCCCCAGGAACTGAAAACGCCTACAGCGGCTGGTTTCATTGTACAATAGCTTCTGACGAGGGCGCCGATTATAGAATACAAATAAAATACTGAATCAAACCAAATATAGCGGATTATTTGGGAGTTTCCCCTCTCGTGTGACCAAGTCAGATCTATGATAAACATGTGCTCTAGTCAACAATTTGAGTGGCTCGTCTTATAATCAGAGGATCAAGACACTTGACCCCAGATTTAAAATCATCAAACTCTTGCCAATGGATTTGTGAAATTGCCAAATTATAGACAATATGAAAAAAATCAAATGTTCGTATTAAACAGCCAAATACGCTTCGAATCCAAATCTTCTGATTCGGGTATCGTCCTAAAGTAAATGCTGTGTTTACAACTCGCTGCAATCCATGCAGCTTTAATATAATAGAAACACGATCCGTTAGAGGAGACGAGCGCTGCAGTCTGCAGCTGTTTGAACCTGAAAGAGCAGCAGATTAAGTTGCCGTCAGTCATTGACAACATTTAGGGAAAGACTCATTTCTCTCTCTCTGAATGAGGGGAAGTAAATGGAGGAAGAGGAAAAAGGTCAGCGTCAAAGCCCCGCTATCCATCTGTCCGCCTGAAGAATTGGGGATTTTTCTCTCAATTCAAACTGATGTACGTTTGTTTTAATGACCAAAGATACAACTTCCCCCGGAAAATGTCAAGCATGACCCAGATGAGAGAAGAAGAAGTCTAAAACTGCTCTTCTGTGTTCAGCAGAAGTCATACTTGTGGTTACTTGAGGTCATGTGACTATCTTGATGTTAGTCGTATGATAACCTCATTTGAATGTGGTTAACCAGGGTCTAATGATGAGCCTTAAAGCTACTCTAAAGTAGAACATTCCCTCAGCGGTAAATGGAATATTTCATTGTCAGAAAACACAAACAGAAAGGTGTGACGAGCTGGCGGCGCCTCACCTGTGTCTTGCCCTGCTGGCCGTAGACGATCTTGGTCGGGATGATCTTGGTGGCGGCGGTCTGGGACCCGGAGCTCATGCCTTTGGGCTGGGTGACGATCATCTTGGTGATGGGTCTGGAGGCCGTGATGATGGCCGGTTTGGTGCCCTGAACAGCCTGCAGGCCTTTCTCTCCCTGAAGCGCACACAGTTTATTACAACATGTCATGACGACAAACAAGAGAGAGATCCGCAGTAATCCCTTTTAAAATGCTCATGTGCAAGAAAGTAGAGCTGCAACGATTAATCGATTACTTGAATATTCTCGCGTTATTTCTCATCTGCAACAACAAACTGAATATCCTTGAGTTGTGAGGTGGCCATCTTGGGCTTTGTGAATCACTGATGGACATTTTTTAAACATTTAAAAACCCCAAAAACTACTTGATTAATCAAGAAGATAATCATCAGATTGATAGTGAAAACAATCGCTAGTTGCAGCCCGACATCTAAGTCGCTATATTATTTTAAGACATAAGAAAGCTAACGGTTCTACATTTTGACAGTCAATGCTAGCTGTTTCCACCCGTTTCCAGTCTTTGTGCTAAGCTAAGCTAAGCTAACTGGATGCTGGCTGGAGCTTCATGTCTAACAAACGTATATACGAGTGATATCACTCTGAACATTTCACTCTCAAATCAACTCAAATTAGAATTTTTCTTTAAGAACACAAATTAAACACAGTACTGTATTTTTAACAAATTTTAAAACCTTGAATTCAGGAAATGTAATTTGATAAAATGTTTAAAGGACCTTTGTGTAGGATGTGAAGGTTTCAAACTTTGGCAACACCTAGTGGTTGTATCAAGAAAGACAGCATCACAACAGTGAAATGAACGGGTTCAAATCAACACACAAAGTGCACAAGAAAACATTAACAAACAATTATGCCATCAGAATCATTTGAAAGATGTATTAGTGTATTTATGACCATTTGCACTATGTCTACTGATTGTTTTACTAATTTAATTGATTAATAGTTTGATCTGTACATTTTCCAGAGCTCATCGTGCCGTTGTCTTGTTTTGCCCGACCAATCTGACAAATCAAGAGTTTAAGAAATAGAAAATATTCACATTTGAGAAGCTGGAACAAGTGAATAGTTGCCATTTTTGTAAAATTTGCCAATTAAAATGTTCTTCGGAGGTATCACCAATGATTAATGAATCATCTCAACCACAGTGGAGAACGTCGGCTGCACCAGTGCCACCAGTAGAGCGGTCAGCGTGGAGCCCAGCGTAGTGCTGAGAGAGAGAGGCCTTTCACTGACCCCGGCATTTAGAAGCGTGGTGACCACATTCTTGCCGGGCAGCCCTTGGATGGTCGCTCCTTTCCCCGTGGTTTTCTGAACCACGATGACGTTTGGCTTGGAGGTCATGGGGATGGTGGTGATCTTAGTCGTCGTGCCTGTTGCAGACGGAATATATATTTATCAAAACTCTGGAGATTACATGCGATAACGGCGACGTGGATCTCTCCTCTTTGGCTCACCGGACACGATGTTACTGCTGATGATCTTGCCACCCAGCGTGGCCAGAGACTTGGGCACCACTGTGATGATGCTGCCGCTGGTGGTCTTGACGTAGGTGGTCCCGCCGCTGGAGGCCGATATTCTGGCTCCGAGGCTGGGGCTCACGGTCGGTCGGGTGTAGGCGGCCTGGGTAGCTGCACACAAAAATACAGTGTTGCTATTTAAATAACCAGGCCCGGGGATCAAAGCCTGAGTACTGTGTTGAGTACAGGTGAGTCACCTGTGGACTGAGTGACCAGTTTGGTCGTCATAATGGCTCCATTGCTGCTGACGACCATGATGGGAGACGAGCTGCTGCTGGACAAACCCACCGACGAAGGCTTGGGCAGGATTTTACTGGGCTGAACCTGCTGAGTGATTATCTTGACTCCTGTAAACAAACATTGATTTAGTACAAAGAAAAAACACTTTTATGCTGCAAAAAATGTAGAAAGAATTATGCTACACTAGTGCGTGCGTGAGGGTCCATTGTGGTTTTGTTCAAGAAAACAGAAAATATAGAAATAAAAACAATAAAATCTTATTTTGCCCATAAAAAAAAAAAGCATAATACAACATATTTATGCTTGCACAATTTCTCTTTTAAATATAGAGCTATAACTTCCAGAGAAAAAAAAAGAGACTACAAAATAAATAAAGAGAAAGAAATTAAAATACGAAGATATAAAGAGATAAGAGCCTAAAGAAATAAAGACCGGGATAAAGAAATATAAAGAGAGAAAGGAGAAAGAAAATAAAGAAAGGAAGACACCAAAAAGAAAACGGAAAGAAAAAAATGAATTAAGAAAGATAAAATAAAAGAGACAACGAGAGAAAGAGATCAAGTAAAACTAAAAAGAGAAACATAAAAGAAAGAAATAGATGTAGAATAAAAAAGACATAACGACATAAAGAAAGCAGCTCACCGGACTCTTGTTTGATCTGAATGGTGGGCTTGCAGCCCTGTAAGCTGCTGGTGGTCTGGGTGACTCCCATAGCTGAGCTCTGGTGCAGCTGTTTGGGGGACTGCTGTTTGGGGAACTGGGCCATGATCTGAGCCGGTGAGCCCACCAGGGTCTTAGGTGAAGGAAGTCTGGCTGAAGCCACCTTCACTCCGGCTGAAGCACCTGCAACAGTGAACACCGGACTGTGATGCTAACAAAGCTAACAGTTTGGCAAAGTGACACAAAAAGAGCAAATGTGTCAAAGTCTGTGACCAGTAATCGGCTGTAAAGTACCTTTACTTCCAAACAGTTTCCTTCAGATTATATTGACATGTTTGTTTATCACAAACCACTCCGAAGAAGATGCATCCAAAGTACGATTAAAATGACAGAAATATGATGTTTCCAGCCTACAAAACGTGAGAATGCGGAGGAAGGACCTACATGTTGTTGACATGACCACTGCCGGCGTAGATGAGACCACGGTGGTCACCGCGACGGTGTTGGCTGTCGCGCTGGCCGGGAAGACCACCGTCTGTTTCTGGGCAGCGGCGGTCAGCATGGAGGTGGAGACCAGCTTAGACAGAGCGGCGTTGTTGTGAGCGTGAGACTTGGACAGGATGTTGGGCACAAAGTTGGAGCTGGGAGAAGTCGTCACGATGATCACCTGAATGAAGAAGAGTGATTGGGGGGCTCAGGTTTTCTTAGAAACAAGGAGGCGGGGCTTCAAGGAAAAAGAGGTTGGGAACCTCTGGTGTAGAGAGACATCACTCACCTTCTGCGTGGTGGTGTTGGTGCTCTGGATGGTGGGCTTGGTGAAGGTGATCTTGACGGGGGACAGGTGAGGGGGCAGCGAGTTGGCGATGCTCTGCATGATGTTGCTCATCTTGGGGCTGCTCAGCGGCACCGTGATGCTCTTGGACACCGGCGGCATCGTCACCTTAGAAACCTCCTTCAGCATCACCGGCGACGAGCTGGACGAGTTCGTCCGCCGGCGCTTGCGAGGTTTCTCGTCCTCGTCGGAGCAGCTCACACCTGGGTGGGGGTGGGGGGGTGGGGTGAGGATGTTGCAGGGATGACGGTAGTTATGTCTTATCCATTAATTAAATTGGTGTAGTAAACATCAGAAAATAGTTGGACGTAATCAAATATCTGTCTTTTGTTCAACAAACAGTCCAAAAACTAAAGACATAGATAACACAAAGCAAAACAACAAATACTAATGTCACTCACATTTGAGAAGAGGAAAGCACTAACTGTTAAAATTAAATTCAATTTAAGGAAAAGGAAAGAGACTCTATTCATGCTTAAGGTTAGCTTTGTTCTGTTGTTAGTAATCAGTAAACCAGCCTTGCAGCGCCCCCTTTAGGCAGATCAGTACACGTGTTAAAGGCCTGTACAGAGCAAAAGAAGTTGAAATTGATGCGACGATGTGGACGCTCACTTTTCACATAGACGGTGCTCCCGCTGGGCAGCACCACCACGTTTGAGGAAGGACTGGGCGGTCGGGGGGATTTGACAGTTGCTCCGATGGCGCCGCTGCTCGCTGTCGCGCTGGTGGAGGTGCCGGTGGTGCTCGTGTAGGAGTAACACACAACCACTGCAGGAGACCAAACATCGCAATAGAATATTAAGACAAAGCTGCATTTTATAGCGACGTGCATTTCTAGAATAATTACATTAAATAGTAGACACAGAAATAATCTTATTGCCGTCCTGATTCCCTTTGAATGCAGCTTTTGTCAAATGCAAAGTGATGCTGGTCAAACCTTCTTTGTTTCCCGTTTCTGCCGGCAACAGAAGGGAGGCGTTCTGATTGGCTGTGGCACTGGCCACAGCGTTGGCAGTCACGGTGAACGCCGTCTGAGGGACGAGCCTCGGCATCAGGGGGACGAGTCGGCGTCCCTCAATGGACCACTCGGACGAGCTGTTTGGACCCGACATACTGAAAATGAGTTATTAGATGTTAGTTTTTAAAACTACAATTCCCAGTATGCAATGGTGAGCCAAATTCACAATCAAAAGATCTGCATGGTCAGAGAAGCGTGCGTATCATAACAGATGAAAAGTTTGATTTCTGAACTGATGAAGAGCCGTTTTATTTGGTCGTTGTTGCTGAAAAGTGGATACATAAAGTACATAAATCTGCTTGTTTTGCCATGTTGCTCCACATACTGCGAAGTAACGCACATGACGAAGGACTCTCCTACATGGCCGGTTACACACTTACTGGTATGCGATGGTGGTGAGGCGCTCATCGTTCACAGCCCTGCGGACTTCTGCGCGATGGCGCTCTGTTGAGATACTGGGAGGACGAGGGGGAACAAAATGATATTTAAAATAAAGCAAAAGCCTGATAAATTGTTCCTCTCTCGGTCGTCAAGTTTTAGAATATTTAGGAAACACTTACCCGAGGATTTTAGTGAGTTCTCCCAGTAAATCCTTCTTGTCCTTGGTCAGGTCTCCTTGAGCTCGCAGGGCACTGATCACGCCAGCGTAAGCCTCCAGCTCTGGGAAACAGAAATCAGGTAAACTCAAATATGAATTTATTGGCCTGATTAAGATGTAAAAATGCTTTTTTACAGCGATGTTCCTCCACATATCTATTTTTGAATCGCATGACCGTACCGAGTTTTCTGAGGATTCTCTTGCACTCATCCCGGCCCAGGTCCAGGATGGTGGGCCACACCACCGGCATGGTTCCAGTCAGCACTGGTTTCTCCAGCTGAATCATGAGCTGAGTGGAGAGGAAACAAGGTAAGGAAAGATTAGACAACAAGTTCTCTCAAACTGTCCTGCTCCAAGAGCTGTTTATTTTAAATAAATGATGACGTTAAAAAAAATACCTCGATGGTATCAATAGTATCTTCTTGGGAAAGTAAACAAATCAAAAACCATCAACAAGGACCAAGAAGTAGTTAAATAAAGCAGCTGGTGTTAATTCTGAATGTTCAAACTGTCTACAAATCCCAAGAAAAGACCAAAACCAACAATGTGTTGGTCCGTCTATCACACTAAGACTTCTTTAAAAAAATAAAAATGTAATTTTCAAATAACGCTGAGCATCGAGTTTATGGTACTCAAACAAGGAGTAAATACTGCATTAGTAGGACACAGTTTTGTACATCAGGTTAATATTAGGTGGATTAAATACTACGACAATACTTGTTTAGAAGAATCAGTTCAGTGTTGGTTTTGGACTTAATATGGTATTTGATGACAATACGAAAAAAACAAATCACAATGACACCGGATTTTAAAGAGATGATGCTAAACTCCATTTACAAATACAGCAGTTTAATTTGAGCCAGGACAGGATCCATGTTCCAGTTTATAATTCACCAGGCTGTGACTCATATCTATAACAATAAAGTCTTAACTTTCTAACTGTTGACACTGACCGGTACCGCCCCCTACTGGACATCCCAGTAACTACAATCAACACTGGGCGTAAAAGGCCAAACACAAAAAAAGGGAGATTTTGTTTCATACAAATGCTGCTTAGAAGAACGACTGATATGCTGAAGAAAGTAAAAGATAATAATTACAAAACTATGAGTTTGTGCTACCAGGTTCCGACATTAACGGACAAACAAGGAAACATTTACCGTTAGCTGTTATACTTCTCGGTCAAATTCTGTCAACACAACGGGAAAAATCGGGTCTTCATTAAATTCCCTCCCGTAAAATAGTCAAAATAACGTTAAAATATATGACTAAAATATTCAGAGCAAGGCGTGAGATATTTTCGGGCCAATTCTCCAACATTGTGACGTTATATTTTAGTTCAACGCGTATTAAAAAACCTTTTAAATGGTATGTTAGCTTAGCTAAATCAATGTCTTACCGTTCGTTAACAGGACAACTCCAAGGCCTTTGTTATTTCTAAATCCAAACAAACATGGCGCACCAAAAGACGTTTAGCTAAACAACCGCATCGTGTAGTTATTCTTAAAGAAATCAAAAGCTAAACTGTCATAAAATGGCTCAGTCTAGCTAAAGATGTTCCAGTGTTTACGTTGTCTGCTAAGCTAGCTGCTGCTGGCCTGTGGATGGATGAGCTTTCTTCTTCTTCTTCGTGTGCTATATTTACACGCGAGAGGCATCTTCTTCTTGACCGGCGCAGTGCTGCCACCTACAGGTGGAGGAGTAGATGGACTACTTTATTAATGCAGCCAAATCAAACATGAGAATCACAAAACAAACAAATATATGTTAAATGTCCAATAAAACACAAACAACTAAAATATTGACTAGACACTGAAACAAAGCATTTTTATATTAGCTTTTTTTGTGTTCAATATTTTTTACGCTGTTATTTTTATTGCTTTACCTGTACCACAAATGCTGCTGTAGCGAAAACATTTCCCCTTGCGGGATTAATAAAGTAACTATCTGCCTGTCTGCCTGTCTGTTTGTCTGTCATATATCTATCAATAGTAAAAAATATAGGACCACACTTCATACACAAAGCCTCCACAGCTCCTTAAGCAGTTTACAGTCAAACCCAAATACTCCTCAAAAACTTTACCAACTTAACAGCCTGTGCTGGTTGATGTTCTCTTCATAATTTAATGAATTTATCTTAATTAGTGAGCTGTGCAGATGCCTGTGAGCATCACCTGCTTTTTTATTTTTATTGTATGTCAATTGTGTCCCTCTGGTAATTTGCATGTGAAACAACTCATAGACATCTGAAACATGACAGGTTACAACCTAAACAGATTGTTAAAATAAACCAGTTGTTTCCAATGCATAAGGTTTTTATGGGTTTTTTTCGAATGTAAAATCTTAGTCTGAAAAGAAAAAAGTACAATGTTTACAAGTACCCTCAACATTGTACTTAAGTAAATGCTCCTAATGACTTTCCACCACTGTTTAACTGCTAGTAAAAGTCCAAATAAAACCACATCAATGCTGTTAACTCTGACAGTTTAGCGAAGTACGAGGAGCTCGTGAACGCAACGGAATGGAAGGTGGGTTTGTCCTCCTCTTTTTGACTCTTTTTTTGGGGAGGGGGGGACAAAGCATTTCCTTTTTTCCATTTTGCATCATCACTTTGGAGCAAAAAAAAAAGAAGATCCCAGACAGTCGTCCACATTAAGAGGATTAAAGTGATCAGACCTGGAGGAGGATGCTATAAAACTGGACTCTGGACGTTCATTTTGGATTTAGCAGCCAAAGTTTCACGTTATTCTAATACCGGGTACTCTGATATATATATATATGTATATATGTATATATACATATATATATTTATTTATTCATATATTCATCATTCAAGTATTTCCTCAGGAACATAGAGACATCCTCTCCTTGGATTTGGAGGAAATCTGAGAAAGTTTTTGGGGAAACGTTTTTTTCAAAGCGAGCAGAAGTTAAGTGTTTTCCAGATGTCTCTGCTGATGCAGACAGCGGCTGATTAACGAAACACATTCACACCAAACGATACAAAAGTAGCGCTTTTCTTTATTTCTTGCATCTCTGTGGATTAACGGGATTTTTATTAAACGCTTTATGCTGGAAATAACGACTCGTCGACGGTTCCTGGATATGTTCGGACACAAAATAAAGGAGCCGATTTAATTAATAAGAGTCGGAGGATATCATGAAAATGTTATTTGGGTGAAGTCGTCGGAAAACTCTTGCAAGTGAAGCCCCAATGAGCGGCACACAGTCCACGCTCACTGACAGGTAGGCTGAAGGAACCGTTCCTCTCCAATGCGTCCTCTTCGTCTGTTTAAAGCACATTTTACACACTTTGCATCGAGTTGAAATGGTTTTCTGAATGGGTTAATTAATAGAAAACAGCTGAATGCACCACGCCAAACTCCATTTACAAAACTCACGATTGAAGGTTGTCTTACTCGTTGCATAACATACACAACCAGCTGAACGTAATATACGAGCTTTTACCATTTAGTTTGACATTTTGGTAAATTCGGTAAAGAAATGATTGAACAAAAACAAACAAAGCATTCTTCTTTTTTAGTTTAGCATGGCCTCTTCACGTCGCATGGTTGTGGGACAGGATGCCTCCAGGACTGGTAGGGAATATAAATAAAGTTTAGTTTAAGTACATTTAAAGGTGCTTGATATACCAGATGTACGCCGAACTTATTTCAAGCCTTTAATAAATCCTGTGAGCTCTTAACTTGTATTCTAACTTTGACGTCTCATCTGAGGAAACTAGTGGAGTTAGAAATGACAGATTTCCCAACGGAGTTCATGTAAAATACAAAGCAGAACGGGGCTTGGTTTTTCCACTCCCCCCCCCCCCCCCACCATGATGACAAGATCCCCTCCCCAGCCAGCAGGGGGCATTTTCCTGGACTGATTCATTCTTGACTTGTGGCCCCTGAAAGGTCACTGAACACTAGAGGTTCCTGCACATTACAGTCCCACAGAGGATCCTGTGGGGGTTATTTGATGCCACTATGCTTCACAGTCACATGATCCTATCTGTGATTTTCAATCCACGAGTCATGCGGTCACATTACATGCAAATTGATTACACGATCATGTGACTTCCCCGTTTATTGATCACAGAACAAACATTTATTAAAGAGTCTGATAAAGTGCTGCGGCTCCACAGTTTGTTGGTGTAAGAACCATGTGAGGTGAGTAGTTAATGGTTGACTTTTGAGCTTTTAAAAGATTCCACTCCACATAAGTCACTTGTGTATCTTTGCACTCGGCAATCAGGAGTTTCCTCTGAGGAAATGCCAAAACAAAGGCAACACATGACTGCCTCGGAAAGTCAAACAAAGTCATTTGATTTCTTGACCTTCAGCCTTCAGAGAGGGCAGAGCTGCTCGGCTGCTTCTTAACTAGACCGGCCCTCGTTCTGTGGAGTTTTTGCTTCTCTAATGTTTCCATCACAAATTCCACATAAAGACCATATACAGTTAAAACAGACGGTGGAGGTGGAAAGCATGACAAACGCATGCGCGCGCACGCACACACACACACACACACACACACACCCCAAAGCACGGATTTAAAGGGAAAATCGATCCTCAAATGGATTTCACAGATATTGCTACAGAGTTGTAGAGCTCAGGTTAGATTTGCTTCGACATGTGACGGTTGTATTTAGCTTCTTTTTTTTTTTTTAAATAGAGGAAAAATAAGCATTTAACAAAAATGTAATCATCACAAGATGTGACTTCTTCTGTTTTTAATTCAGTGCAAACAGAAACATCTGCAGATCATTTTGTTCATTTTTATTTTCAGCTTCCTTATAAACATTCATTTGACAACATGACTTGGTTGAACAATCACAATATGATTTTTGCAAAAGTAGATAAATGATATATCTGTTGAATTATCTTAATACTAAAGTACTGCACTTGAGTACAATTTTGAGGTACTTGTACTTGAATATTAAGCTACTGTACTCTATGCATCTACTTCACTTTAGTTTAGAGGCAAATATTCTCTCCACGTCATTTATGTGATAACTGTAGTTGCTCGTTACTTTGCACATTCAGCTAATATGATATTTTATTATAATATTATATATTAAGATACATTAAAAGGGGAAATTAACAAGCTAGCAGTGTATAAAGAAGTTAAAATTAGCCGCACATTTACCTTCACCATAATGCATCAATAATTATAATCCAGTATTATATTCTAATATATATTATTCTACATAATAAGTACTTTTACTTTTGGTACTTAAAGTATATTTTGACGTTAATGCCTTCAAATGTTTACTTCATTAAACTTTTGAATGCAAGACTTTTAACAGAGTAATTGTACATCGGGCTGTTGCTACTTGTACTACTTTAGGTTAAAGATGTGAGTACTTCTTCCACCGCTGTGTACCGAGGGCTGTGTTCCTGCACTCACCAACAGACGACCATGGCAGCTATTCATCACATCATATGTGACTATTTACTGACGACCCTGACCACGTGGACTGAAACCAATCTGTAGAATGATGTGTTCGCTGTACTTGTACATATAACACACTGCACTGTGTCTGAAGTACTGCTGTCTCACTGAGACACATCTCAGTACAATTGTTTTACTTGCTAATGAGTTGACTTTGAATGTGAATCACTGCCGCCTGATCTTTTCTTCTACGTCGTCTCTGAGAGACGTCCCTCCTGTGCAGACTTCTCTCAGGTTCATACTGAGAAATATATCATAAAATTGAAATATTCAAGTAGAAGAACCTCAAACTTGTACTTAAATACAGTATTCACTAGTACTTTCCACCACTGCTGAAGCCTGAAGCGTTTCAGTTGCCCGGCAACATTTGTGCCAGCTCCAGCAGTGGTGAGGTCACTTCCTGGACGTCGTTCAAGGGTTTCTCAGTGAGAAGAATTCAGTGTGAGCAGCTCCCTCGGTTTCTCCTCACATTTGTGATGTTTTACTGTCTGGATGTGACGACCCCCAGCGTGGGACATGTTCTCCTGTCTGGACTGAAACAACCCTCTCTCCTGTCCATCAGAAGCATTAAAGCACAGCAGAGTTCAGGGCTTTAAAGGAAAACTACAGTTTAATACAACTTAGGGTTTTATTTTAGCTGCTCTGCCCGTTGCTTTTATCGCTTCTCTCAACGTTGCACTCAGGGAAGTGGTTGCTGAGATCTGGAAACACGGCAACGCTGCTAAAATATTGATGCAACAAACATAAACAATCAGACAGGTTCTGGACAAGCCAACAGGTTAATCACACAGACTGTAAGTAAGAAGTGGATGTAGTCGTCGTGACGTCTCTTGTTGGTTTGTGGATGTTTTGAAGCCTCGAGTTCAGCATTTTGGCTGAACATCTTGTTTATTTTTCCCAACCAGTGAACAGGAAGTGACCATATCTGGACTGAGGAGGAGTGACGTAGAGACGCAGTATACGTCTCTGGTAGAGACCTGTCAATCACTGTGTAGCCCCGCCCTAAAGCATCTCCTGCTTTATGGTCTGGTTGACTCTAAATGGACCATAAGTTACTACATGAACATCATGCTGTATTGAAGAAGACTTGAAACTAGAGATTGAGACCATAAACTCATGTTTACAATGTTTACTGAGGTAATAAATCAAGAGAGAAGTAGTCATTTTCTCATAGACTTCTATACCACCAGAGGAGTCGCCCCCTGGTGGACATTAGAGATAATGCAGCTTTAAGACACTTGGACTCATTAATTCTTTTTTATTTATTTGTTTTGTTTGAGTGTCAGGGTGCTTAGATCGAGGGTGTGTGTGATCAGCAGAAGGCCGTGGAACCGGCTCTTTGGCTCTTTGTCACACAGTTTTGCTGATCCGTGTGTTTTCCCCTCCCACCGACCTCCACCCCCATCACCCCTTCCACCCCCTCCACCCCCATCACCCCCTCCCGCACCCTGACGGGAAGTGGTGACATCATTGTTGAACAATGTCTGTCAGGCCCACCAGACCCCCGGCCCGTCCTGACTGACACTGCTGCTGGCGACACATCAGTGCAGGACGGCTTCAACACAAACCAGTAAAATAAAAACTCTCACACCCTCTGTTGTCTGTGTAGTGTACTTCAAATAATACTTGAAGTGTATCTCATTACCTCATTTCCATATTGTTTCACCGTTATTGCTCATGGAGAGCTAGTTCGATGTTGCAGCGTGACGTTTGTTTTGCGTCTTCGCAAACACTCCCATTAGTCAGGAAAAGTCATATTTTCTTTCTCTAGATGGATTTAGACTTTTGCGTATTCATCTTTAAAGTCAAACACAGCTTTACGGCTTCATCCTTTAGACACAAACGGTTATTTTATCTGTACCCTGCTGGATTATGAATGTACAGTCTTTACATTACATCATTAAATCCACCCACAAAAAATGGTGCTCCATGGAGACATAGCCTTCAAGATTTAATCTATGTGTCATCGATGTAATCATGATTTATGAGTCTGATGTCATCTGGTTTGGGGAAATCTAGTAAATTAGAGCTCCTGTTACAAACTGTTCTGCATGCCAGTGATATGATCCTTATCAATCTGCCCGTGTAAGGATTTAACTTTTCATACACGCAGAAATGATCTTGGATGTTTTGCAGCCGACATTATGAAGCGACTTGATTAGTTCAGTTCACGAGGTTTTATCTTGGGTTTGTGGTGACGCAGCGGTGAGAGATAAGTAGTGTCAGATGCAAAATGTGCAGCGATTCATTAAAGGAACGAACATGAAAATATTCCCTCTTTAAAGGTCCCATAATTAACCTTTAAAGTTATTGTTGACTGAAAGGATACATATGTTGAATTGATCCTACAAGCAAATATTGTGTTTATCCAAAACCTGATATTTCTTCTTCCTCTGTGCCATAGAGCTTCATTAAAAACACATCAATACACACACACACACACACACACACTGTAGTTTATTTTACACTGCCCCAAATACTCACTTGAGCGCCACATGTGGATTAATCCACCGCTGAAAATAGTCCCAAACAAATGCTGCAGTGACCAGCCCAAAGAGAATAAATAATATAATATAATATACTGTGTATATTCATGACTTGTTTTTAAAGATTTACATCTTCAGTAGGAACAGAAACAACTATAAATTGTTGTTTTTGGTCCTTTAATCTGTTAGTGTTTGTTTACTGCAAGAGAAATATAGAATATCAGCTTTATGCTTTAATCAATTGTTTTTGTATTTGTTTGTAAGTAAATAAAGGTAAGACTTGCAGGATATGAAGGTTAATTAAGTAAAGGGAAAAGTGATCAATAAATATGGATCTGGTTACATTTTGAATCTAGAATCAGAACTTAAAGATGATTTTAATGAAGTCCTCTTTATTGCATTCATTTAGCTCAATGTGTGGAGCACCCACACGTTAAAGGTCTTTAACTAAACCACTGGAGCCTCACACTGCTGCTGCAATGATTTCTTACAGTTTAATAGTGTTGCCTTCATTTAGCCAGCCAGCCAGTCAGAATGAAGACTCGCCAGTGACCGTGGAATCATCATTTAATTATTATTGAGGCATTAATGCTTCAGTGTTTCACTGTATATCATGACCTTTATAACAAACATTGAGCTCTGTGTGGAGTTTGAGCTTCTTCCTCTGGGCTTTTGTCTCCGGCCCTCTGGAGCTGAGTGCGCCGCTCTTATCATCCCAGAGGAATTGTCTGGTATTTTTGGCATTTGAGGCACAGATTGCTGCATGTTTTTCCTCTTTTGGTAACTGTGCAGCGAGAAAGTGAAGAAAGTCTGAACAAATGATCCAGCAGACGTGTGTCCCTGCCGGGTGACACTGATACAATTACAGTAAATGAATGATTCCCTTTCATCGTGGCGCCAGTAAACGTTTCACATGGACGTGAACACTTGAACCTTTGGTGCTTCACAAGTACTGTGCAGAACATTGGAAAAATGCACAATTTGAATGGCCTCTACAAAGGCCGTAAATGTAATGGACTCAGAGTATAGCCTGGAGAATTAGCTGATATACGTATATTAATTCTGATTTCAAGGATTACATATGAATTGATTTTGTGGGATATCTACAAATTGCAGCGCATTACTTTACGCAGGTATCGCTACGAATGCTGTATGAGAACTTTTTCCTAGTTCCTAATCTCTCACCTTGCACCCAGAAACCTTCTTCTTTTGGGGTCACTTCCTATCGTCATTCATCCTGCTGTCAGTTCTTGTGATCAACATTTAGCTGTGTTTTCAGGTACAGTAGATCAAAGTTATCGTCCGACCAGAACCAAAGAAGTAAAACATCTAAAGTCTGAATCAAACCCCTTCATGCATGTGCCTTTTAAATAACTGAAGCTGAGTTCCTCCCTGTTATCCTCCAGTATGTACTTTTATCTGCCACCCACTGAGCAGGATGCAGTCTGTCTTTGTCTCGCCATTTCTTATCAGCAGCGAGGAGGCTCCCTGAATAGGCCTTCCAATCTAAAGGTTACCACCGAAATACTCTTCTATTCAACACAATTACACTCTTTTTAGTCTGTAATTGTGACAATATGTCAAGTGTTTTGCACATATTCTGTCTATTTGTTTGAATCTGACACCCCAGGAATTAATTGAAGCCGTCTTTTCTCCGCTCCATGAGGTTAGTTTAGACGGGATTGTTCACGAAGTGAAAACTTCCTCAGCTCTCAGTCTTCTGTCTTCCCTCAAATAGACACTTGTGCTGCGCCTCCTCCTTTTTCCTGTCTCCCTCCTCCTTTTCTTTTTTTTGCCAGCCTTCTCCCCACATTCAGGAAACTGGAGCCGGGCCAAGAACCCCAACCAGTCTCCATTTCCGGGAATCTGTCCCACAAAGCCACAGTATAGTAAGTTGGCTCTGACATGGGAGCCATTGTTAAAAGCCCGGGGCCCCCATTGTCCAAGGGAGGAACAGCAGCACAAACAAAAACCCCTCTTGCGGAACGAGTAGGAGGAGCTGTGGGGGCTCCTCTGCTATTAATATATAGTGGTCCCACGAGAGTTCTGGGTAATAACAAGAGAGAGGGAGTACACGGAGCCTGTTGGGGCCATTTAGTTCAGAGTTAGACATCAACAAACTCCTCTTTCCTCTTTGGTAGTACAGTTGTGCTTGGAGAACACTTCACTGGTTCTATGGGAAGGTGTGATTTTTAAATGGTACACTGTATGAGTGTCAAAGAAGGCTGTTGTCCATATGAGATATTTGAGTACATGTTTTCTCCGTGGTTACAGTCTTATCTGATCATATATTTGCAATAATACTTGATCATACTTTTTAGCCCTTACTGAAGTTGTTCTGATACCGATGCCAGTATCAGAAAGTCCTAAAATACTGGAACAAGTATCTGCGAGTCCGATATCACATTATCATCATGTATCAGCTCATTTATGCTACAAAACAACAACAACAACAAGTGTCCCTCGCTGCCGGATCCCTACATCCTGCCCGATCAATACTGTACAAACTAGTACTACACACATGTGGTTAAACACTCTCCCTGTTTTCCCCCTAATAATGCTACATTGTGAACCTCAAATCTGTGTAGAAATCAGCAGGATGAGAGCTAGTTAGCTGTTAGCTGTTAGCCGTTAGAAGCCGGTGGGCAGCACCGTTCTGCTAACAGCTAACAGCTAACGTTAAGGGAAGTTGCATTGAGTTACATTTTGATGCGTTCAAGCTCTATTCAGTAAAAAATGAGCAAAAATGATAAATATGTTAATATCGATACAATTAGAAAATATGATTTGTCCTTTTTTTATCTTAAAGATACAAATAGTGTCCATTTAATTGAATGCTAAACATCAACAGAAACAGAAAGAAAATCTGGGATTTTGGGAAAGCTATTATCAAAATCTTTAATAGTTTTGGTTCAATTTGAATTATAAAGATATATATTTGTTTTGAGGCGTGTTCTCACTTTTCCATTTGTCTCTCTAGGACCCCGAGCATTCTCAACAAGGAGCCCACAGACAAGAAACCCAAGAATGAGAAATCCTCTGTCTCGCTCAAACATGAGTTTGACCCGACAGGTAAAGAGACGTCGCACGCTGAAGCATTTTATTCTCCAAGCTTCAGACTCTTTATCGTCACGCACACAACAATCACAGAGAAGATCTCAGGCCGTCTCCAACAAGGAACATTTTAATATCTATTAAAATAAAAACACGCAATTAAAAATGTTAATTTAATGAGTAAAAAAGTGCAGAAGTTAAGATATAACTTATATAAAATCCTAAATGGATATCTGTGGTGGACTGTAATGTGAACAGGGATGTAGTATTTTGATAAAACAGTAAGTAAATGTAAATAAAGATAACGTGGCTGTGAACGTGGCTCCTTAAATGTGAAGGTTTAACTGTAACTGGTTTAACAGATGGATAACAGTGCTTTTTATGTTTTATTAGTTTATAACTTTCTTATTGTAACTTCCACGATGACACATTGCATTCAAAATGAAAAGTGTTAACAGTGTCCAGACACTGAGTTGAGATAAAAATTTAAAGCTGAAGCGATTAGTTTACTACTCGTTATTAATACTTAATTAATCGTTTAATTCACTTTTCAAGCAAAAATGCCCAAAATGTTCTTGTTCCAGCTCCTCAAATGTGAAGATTTGCTGCTTTTATTTTGTTAAATATGACGGTACACTAAATATTTTGGGGTTTTGGTTTGTTGCTCAGACAGAACAGGCAATTTGAATATGTCACCTCAGGCTTTTTGATAATGTGATGACCATTTTTGTTCACTATTAAAACATTTTACAGACAAAATGCTAATTGATAATTCAAAGAAAATAGAAACCAGGTAGCTAGTGAGTCACTACACTTCCTCAGTGGAAACAGGAGGAACATCCCTGATGGAAGTTTCTTCCACTGAAAGTGAAAGAATACGAGAGCATTTACAAATAAAGAGGCTGGTTTCACTGGCTCAGGAGGACAGATGGCAGATTCAAACGGGTATTATTAGCCGTGCATGTGGTCATGGGACTTCCCAAATGGTCAGAACAAAGGGTGGTTTAATAGATAGAAATAGATAAAAATAAGTTTTCCAGTGGTTCACGTTACAGCTGCTGGCGGTAACGTGCATAGAGTAATGATGCGACGACAGAGGCAGTGAAGAAGAAAAATGTAACTTTAGAAAGGTTTTAAGAGGAAGGAAATCCACTCAAAATGTTTTTAGGCCTCAACTTTGTTTACAAGAAAACTCCACAGGCACTTTTTTCCCATTTATTCCATAACAGGGATTATTATAACCACTATTTCTGTCACAGAATGAGGAGAAACCTGAGAAGTAAATTTACAAAAAATTGTTTCCTCTGACTATTTTGGCGACCAGATAAAAAAATAAAAAAATTCATCACAATTAATTTATTCTGCTCAGTTTTACTGCAATATTGCATTTGTTTGCATCATTTAGATATATTAGCTTATTTGAGTATTTCAGATATTTTTATGCAAGTTTTTTCATGTAAATTCTTCATATCAACGGTGTTTTAACATTTATACTAAAACTTATACAAAAGGTTTTATCCTAAATAAAGTATTATTATCATTACATGACTATGAAAAGGATATCGAATAGACATAACAAACATCTCATGCTGGTGAGTCCAGATTCAGTTGGAAACTTTTTACAATCCTTTTCTGTTTCGGTCTCTGGATTTGTCGCACACATCAAACCTGAAGCTGGATCATCTGTGTCACATCCACAATTTGTTTTAGCTTATCTCGCTGCACCATTGGTAGCATGTTATGTAATGCTGTGTGTGTGCGTGTGTGCGTGTGTGTGTGTGTGTGTGACAGGTCTTGTGCAGCGCTGTGTGATAATCCAGAGAGATGAAAATGGCTTTGGGTTGACTGTAAGTGGAGACAACCCAGTGTTTGTGCAGCTGGTAAAGGAAGGTAAAGCTCTCTCTCTCTTACACACACACACACACACACAAATAAACACTCATATGTTTGTCTTTCTACACTTATGAGGACCCTCCATGACACAATGCAAGGCTGAGCTCAAAACCTAACTTAAACCTAAGTCTAACCTTAAACTTAGGATCTGCCTCACAATGCAGAAATGTCCTCACTACGATGGTTTGAAACTGAAATTGGTCCTTACAAGAATAGCAAGAGGACTACAAACATACTACACATGACTACGACACACTTCTCTGACTCTGTTCTGTCTTTTGTGTTTTAGATGGAGCTGCAATGCGAGCCGGTGTTCAGACCGGAGACAGGATCATTAAGGTGAGATTTGCTTACTGGCTTATTTACTTACTCCCTTACTTACTCACTTACTCCCTTACTTGCTTACTACCTTACTTACTCCCTTACTTACTACCTTACTTACTACCTTACTTACTACCTTACTTACTTTATTTATTTTCCTTCTTTCTTACACACTGTAGTTCATTTGAGTTGATCTCAAACCATTCTGCTGCTGTAAATACTTACGAGTGCATATATACTCACCAACAAATGGACTATTTACTCCTGTTTGAGTAATATTGATCAAAAATACAGCTGCCAGCTGTTTTAGGAAATGATTAATGTTTTTTATTTATTGAGGAACGACTAAGACATTGTTGGTTTTGGTCTTTTTATGGGATTCTTGACAATACCAAAAATTCAAAATATCAATACGTCATGGTCAACTGTTCCCTCCCAATGTTCTTTTGTGTTTTGTGACAGGTTAACGGGACCTTGGTCACACATTCAAACCACTTAGAGGTTGTGAAGCTGATAAAATGTAAGTATGCACTTCTTCAGTTTGACATCACACGCAATCATGACGGAACATTAAGAATATAACGTTACCTAGTCAGTAATACGTCTTACAGTAGTTACCGATCATTCTGTGGGGCAAAGATTGCAGAACAACCTGGACATTGGCAACCATTTTGAGAAATTGGCAACCAATTGTCTTCAGATGAACAATTCAGTCATGCTGACGTATAACTGTAGAGTATATTTATTACTCAAAATATAAGGTGACTAAAAATGGCAACTGTATTTTCAGTTTCGGCGCGATGGACGTGGCACACCATTCTATTTCTGGAGGGGTGTTTTAAACATTACATTTAGTTACTGGAGCCATTTGTGCTGACTGCGATGTGCTTCGACAAACATTCCCCCCAAAACGCAAAACTCTCAAACGAGTCTCGGATATTAAGACCTTCACTCCTCGTGGAAACAAATACATGAGATTTCATTTTGAGAGAGGGTTCAGGGGATTCCCCCCCGCTTGTGTGCACAGCTGTAATTCATGACATAATGCATCGGAATTATTTAGCTCCTTGTTAAGTGGTGAAATGTTTCTCTTTCTCTCAGCTGGTTTTAACTGAACAGATCTTCACAGTGACTTGGTTACTTTTTTATACATGCGTCATCATTTCCCTTTCTTTCTCCTCACCCTCTCTTCATTCCTTTCCCATGACTCCTCTCTGGCAGCGGGTTCCTATGTAGCGCTGACGGTGCTGGGGAGGCCTCCGGGGCTTCCTTACATGCCCCTGGAGGAGGACGACGAGGAGGAAGAGAAGGAGGAAGGAGCAGAGGTCCGCCCACCTTCTTCTCTCTCAACGCCCCACTCACCTGCACTGCACAGCCTCCAGGAGCACATCACCTCCTCTCCACCTGATGGGGTAAGGAAGCTTTATCTCTTAAAGGACGGGGACACTTCATCACACTGCATTTAGTTCTCACTAACATGTCGAGATAAATGCAACAACCTTAAGAATTCCTGATGGGATCGGATGTTAAGTTTTCTTAGTTACATGAGAAACAGACGCCTGATTTAGTTGTTAAAATCAATTTAAGCTTTCTTAAAACCAGAAAACTCTCTGTAATAATCATCACATAACCACATGCATGCAAGACAAAAAAGAATGAAAAGGCGTATAAAGGTATGCGGTATAAATATACTGAGTAATAGATTGGGGTTCTGCTACACTATATATATATATATATATATATATATATATATATATATATATATTTAGGCGCTGTATTTGCCATTTTCGTGGCTTACTCTTGGATGCGTGCTGGCGTCATTATGTAACTTTAAACTGTGATAAGCTGCTGATGTCATGTATGGTGGACTAATCTGCACATTCATTTGATAATTGAGGCTTTTCTTCTACATTTAGTTCGTTATTATTTCATCTATTTTTTCCAGTCATTAATTAAGTTATTGTAATGGCATCTTTAGTTCTCCATAACCATGAACCTTGACTGGCTGGTACCGGTATTTCAGTCCATTCTTTGTAACACTGAATGTGTCAAACTACAAACTTTGGTTTTATAAAATGTGAAAAACCTGTAAATAATTTGTTTGAATTCAAGTATTAGAACTGAATGAGAAATAGCGTCTTTCTCTTATTTCTCTCTTAATTAGTTTAACACTTGAATTTGAAGACATTTAGAAAGTACTAAATCATATCCTGTATTTATATATGAATGTCCACGTTCCTTTTTTTGTTTTTCACTTTCAGTCGGATCAGTTTGGCTTCTCTCTGTTCCCTGTTTGTTACATCATTATTCCTGAAACATACAAATGTGATTGAAAGGAGCTTGAGGTCCAATGTATTTTTCACTGTGTCTCTGACTGTTTTGGCTCATTGTGTTCTTTTTATTTTCTCTTCTAGGACGAGAACAAAACCACGCACTGCCAGACGGCCGACATCCTGCAAAAGATGCTAACCAAGGAGCAACAGGAGCTCCAGGTTTGTGTATGATGCAATGAGATTGTGTGCACTTCCTTAGACACAGTGATTGTGATGGACGGAACTTATATAAACGGTATTTTAACTCCTGAATATGCTGAGTGGTTTGTCTGCCTTATCATGTTTCCACACACAAGTCAAGAAATCATCAAATATCTTTATATCTTACACATTATCTGTGTTTTTCATGTGTGGCTGATGTCGACTACACTCTGGGATTTCTTTGTGTTCAGACAAAGGAGGAGGAGTGCAACAGAAACCCTCGGCCCAAACTACTGAAGGAGGTGCAGGAGGCCAAGAAGCACATTTCACTGCTGCAGGAGCAGCTCAGCAAAGCAGCAGCAGCATCACAGGTAGAAAACTAAACTCACTCTACATGAACACTTTCACTTTTCTCTGAACCAAAAATAAGGACAGAAATTATTTTGTTATTCTTACATTCAAACATTCAAAAGTTTGGAATCAGCTGTTTTTCTTCTGTCCTTTAATCATTTTAATTTAAGATAAAAACTATATAATTTAGACACCAAATGTTTTATTCGTACATTACAGGTACCTTACATTTGTACTGCAGTACAGTCCAAAAGTACATTAACTTTGGTCTTTCCACCGCTGTCACTGTAGCCTCTTTACTCTCTACAGGGTCTGTGTTACTGGTAACTGATAAGATGGTGAACTGATACTATTATTTGTATGTTTCAGGACGAAGCGTCCAGGAATGGTGAAGCTGAGGACGGGGACGTCGGCCCTCTTCAGAGGGAACAGACCGCGTCCTCACAGGGCGACGGCAGTAACGACGGGCCCTCGACCAACAACAACTCTGTGCGTATAAAAACAGATGAACCACATTACCCAGAAGTCATTTATCAAGCAAAAACTCCCAAACATTTACAGGTTTCCAGCTTATTTTTCTCTGTTTCATATCATTGTAAATTTAATATCTTTTGGTTTTGGACTGTTCGACAGACAAAGCAAGCAATTTGAAAATGGGAACTATTTTCTGACAGTTTACAATCAATTAATCATAGAAATAATGAAGATACTAGCTAGAAACCTTCGGGAGATGCTTCATTTCTTAAACAGCTCTCAACATGATTTATTGTGATTTAAGTGACGGTTAAAACATTTCATACTGGATGTATTTTGTGTTTATGGAGTTTTTAAGACTTGTTCACCGTAAGATCAGCTGCTGCTTGTGACCAACATGGAACGTCGTTAGTATTAATATAATCAATTACAACAGGAAGCTTCTTTGAAAGTACTGCTTACATTGACTTCTTTGTAATAACTTCCTGCTGCTTTATCAAAACTTCTTCAAATAGGAATGAAATGGTCCGACTCTTCAATCTCTGGGGATTTCCCAACATTCAGTGCCAGACTAAACAATCAATTTGGCTTAAGTGTGTGTGTGTGTGTGTGTGTGTGTGTGTGTGTGTGTGTGTGTGTG